CCCTCGATTCTAATTGAATCTGCCATTTTAAAAGAATCGTTTGATTGAAGGATACAATTAATAATTTATTAAAATAAAAAAATAAACATTTTTCTTCATATATTTATCCAAGACAAGCCTAGCTAAACCAGCACAAAAACACACTCAGCAAAGTATTATCTTTATCAACAACCTATCTTACATTGGAAAGACCAAATGTCCCCACAAAAAAAAAGGTAAAACTTTTGAATGTCAGGAAAACAGCTCATAAACCATAGTTCATTTAATAAAGCTTGTTTTTTGTTAAATAAAAATGTGTTTAAAAATTAGACAAATTTTGTTATCATTTGTAATCACAGGACACCCAACCCATTTTTTTTTACAATTCGACCACTGTATACACCCGTTAAAAAAAAGCTAAAATTATAATCGACAATGCACTTGTAAGTCAAATTAAACGTTCCCTTTCTTCTCATCCCCTCAAAGCATGCATACGTGCTAGATATATGCACACTCCATACTTGGTACGTCTCAAACTAAGCGTTCACCACCATGCAATGCTGTCTAGGCCTAGGGTCCAGTAAGATGTTGAGTGTTGGCAGGAGTGAACCAACGCATCGCTAATCACATACGCACGTGATCCACCTGAACTTTCTTCATCCGTACAGGCCTTAAGGTTTGTAATATTAACTTTGTCGTTGCTTGGACTGAATCGTGTTTAATCAACACTATTACGCATTTTTAGACTGTTTACCGTTCCTGTGATCGTCGTTATGTGCTCTGACGCGTGGGGTCACAGTTTTAGGCCAGACATGAGGCTTTTGCTAATTATTAGCATGTGTAATTAACTAATAGCTCTTTGAATATACATGTTAACGTGTTTTACATCGTATACAGGTTTATGCTTTTTCTTTATTCATGTATAAAAATAAATACAAGAATTAAAAAGACATCGATGTGTTTTTAAAATTTTTAGCTAACCTGCAGGGACCGTGGAGTTTTTAAACACAGAGTGTTTTGGCTTGTTTTCCGTTTTCTCAAAGAACCTGCAAATAAATCCATCTCAAATAGGGCTTAAAAAGGCTGCACCTGTTTGTGTTTCTCATTTTTGATCTATGTATTTTATGTATACATTTCCTTTTTTTTTTTTCCTCAAGGTCTTAGTACGATGAACCGCAAAAGGGAAAAGGTTAAGTTTACATGGCTGAATAAGGCCAAGGACTCCCCCAGAAAGCTCATGAAGAACAGTGTGGGTGTGGCACAGCCAACATGCTGGGATGGAGATGATCAGGATGGTGGTATAAGAGAGGTTGGCTCTCCTGGCCTGAACACATCTACTGGGTCAGCTGGACTGGGCGTCATGGAGAACATGTGTCTCAGCACCCCACGCAGTACACCCAAAGCACGCTTAAAACTGACTGGATGCCACAGAGCACTGTTGAAAAAAACCAGTCCTGGTGAGGTAAGTAATAATATAAATTATAAATTTGTGTACTGTCTGTATTTAAAAATTGCAAATATTTGACTGTATTTGTGTTTTGTGTGTGACATATAGGACACTGTTTCAGGACAACAGTCCTCTGTTGGACCTTCACCTCCTTCTGCTGGAAAGAAATGCAGGAGCCTAGAAGGAGGGCAGAAAGTCATTCTCCTCAAAGCGCTGAATGATGCGATGGGGAATGCAAACAAAACGTCATCAATTGGTGGGCCCAAAAGACTATCTGCAAAGAAAACCCCAGACAAGCTTATAAAGGCAGTTGAGGAGGAAAGCACATCTGAGCTTGACTGCTGCTCATTCAGTGAGAAGATTGAACAACTGATCGTGACTACAGATGGCAAGCCTCCTCCACTGGAGTTCATAGACACAGAAGATGATGGGACAGAAATAAAGCTGGACACCAGGGTAATGAATAAGGATTTTTTATTTATTTATATATATATTTTTTTTATAAATTCAATGTGTTTGTTCAGCAGCAATGCATTAAATTGATCAAAAGTAGCAGTAAAGACAAAAAAATTCTATTTAAAAAAATAAATGCTGGTTTTAAAGCGTGGCTATTTTGCACAATTATAAATGTCTATTTATAATTGCTACTGTCTTTGTCTCTATGTACAGAGCGTGATCCTAAAGTGTCCAGAATCACCGGATTGGTCAGATGTTGAGGACTCGGAGCAGGTGGAAGTTTTCTCACAGGATGAGTCTTTCAAAACAAAGAGGCGACAAACAGCTGAGCTTAAAAAGGAATGTGAGTTTGTGGACTATAGTGACACTCTTCCAGCTTTGGAATGCCATCCTTACTCTTTATCACCAGCTTTAAAGCCTTCAACATTCCCTCAAGCTCTGTGGAAACCGGAGTCAGAAGTGGATAACAGTTTCCCAACCGTCCCAGCCAGGGGTGTGGAGCTTTTGTCAGAGCATTCACCTCAGAATACAGCCTCTGACCTCGAGCCACCCAAGAACTACACGCCTTGTAGGACAGTCAGACGGTCCCTCAAATTACAAGAGTCTATCATCAGCTCTTCTCCACTGGTCGATGCTTTCCCCGGGCTCAGAACCTTTGCCTCCGCCCCATATACACCTGGTTACTGGGATTACTCGCATCTTACTACACGCAGGACTTCAGAATCAAATATTTATGCATCCTCACCGATGCTCCTCGCTGGGGACGGTGCCACTCGCAGGATGTCTCTTGGCTCGGAGCCTCTCTGGCTGTCAGATTTGAACTACTCACAAGCAGATTCTGCAGGATTCATTGACACGCACTGTCACCTTGACATGCTCTATGGGAAGTTGGGTTTCCGGGGAAGTTTCCGAAAGTTTCGGAGCATGTATGCAAGTACTTTCCCAAAGGAGTTTAGGGGCTGCATCGCGGACTTCTGCAACCCACGAATCACAGAGAAAGAGGCTATCTGGGAAGGGCTACTAGGAGAGGAGAAAGTGTGGGGAGCCTTTGGTTGCCACCCGCATTTTGCCAAGGAGTATAACCACGCTTATGAGCAAAGCATCATGGGTGCTATGCGTCACCCTAAGGCCATTGCATTCGGAGAGATCGGTTTGGATTACTCGTATAAGAATTCCACCGACTCATGGAAGCAGAAAGAGGTATGCCAGACAGGATGATTACTTCCAAATATTTTTATATCAATTTAAAATATATTATTTCTCACAGTTTCTTTGTGTGTCAAGGTGTTTGAACGGCAGTTGCAGTTGGCCGTCGCTCTCGGGAAGCCTCTTGTCATACATTGCCGTGATGCTGATGATGATGTGCTGAAAATTATGAAGAAGTGTGTCCCCTGGGATTACAAAATACACAGGTCAGTGCTCCTAAAACACACTTGCTGGTTTAATTGATGTTACATAGATTTTTGTTTTTAGAAAATAACACAGCTTATATTTAACTCCAAACTCAAAATAAATGATATAATTTTTTTCAATTTTATTTTCACCTTACTGTATTGTAGTGGTCTTAAATGGTCTTAAAAATAGACAACATTTTCTTTATATATTATTTAGTAAACCTAAGACAATTTATGAAATGTTTTGGATTGAATATATATTTTGAAGTAGAACTTTAAGATTTTTTACTGTTTTAAAAGAAGGCTTAAGACTACATTTATTTAATCAAAAATACAGTAAAAGCAACAATAGTGTTGTGAAATATTATTGCAATTTAAAATTACTGTTTTCTGTTTTTATATATTTTAAAATATAATTTATTCCTGTGATGAAGCTGAATTCCTATTATAATTTTTTTTTTTATTTAGTTTTAAAATTAAAAGTGTCTGTCACTTTTACTGAATAAAAACATTATTTTTTTTTTTTCTGGGTATCACAGTTTTCACAGAAATATTAAGCACAAAAAATATAGGTGTGTGTGTGTGTGTGTGTGTATGTATATGTATATATAAAATGTATAAATATGTATATATTTTAAAATACTAACTTGAGTCATTGTGTGTTAGACACTGTTTTACCAACAGCTATTCTGTGATTGAGCCATTCCTAAGTGAATTCTCTAACCTGTGTGTGGGTTTCACTGGACTGGTGACGTACCATCACGCTGCAGAGGCTCGAGACGCTGTGAGGAAAATCCCACTCGACAGAATCTTATTAGAGACAGATGCACCATATTTCCTACCCAGACAGGTATTGGTGCATCTTACTAGGCACACATTGTTTGATTCCACTTACATATATGTGCATGCCTTGTCATTCTTTAATATACACATACACATAATATTCCTCTCTCTGTAGGTGCCTAAGTCCACATGCAGGTTTGCTCATCCTGGTATGGGCATACACACGCTTCATGAGATTAGTCTGCTGAAGGAAGTGAGCCTAACCACAGTACTGCAAACAGTCCGGCAGAACACCAGACATATATACGGCCTGTGATTGGAAACTTCATGTTACTATAGCAACTGAAGTCCTTGCAATCTTAGTCTAGCTGCCATCAGATTAGTGTTGCTAAAAAAGTTAAGATTTATATTTGAATGTACTGAAGTGTGTGCTAATAAGTGTATGAGCATTGATACTTAAGTTTTGTAGGTGTTGTAGTGAATTTCACATCTGTTAAAAATGTTAGTAACGATACATTTTAATATCTCTTCAGTTTTGTGTTTTAAAATGGTTCTTTGTTCTCAGGATTCTTTTGTCGTGTATCTGCATGCAATACATAAGTGACATAAAATGCCGGCTTGTGTCTTCCCTTATATTAGAAGTCATTTTTCCTTATGCCATCACATGAAAGTTTATGCAAAAATAAAATGTAAAACAGATTGTGAAAACCCACAACAAATAGCTTTTACCAAGTTGTTGGTTTTATATAAATGCAACTTTTGTCTAAATAAGAAGATTGAATAAATGATCTTGTATATGCAACATGAGTGGGTTTATGAAATAATTTTTTTGAGAAGAACAAGACTTCTTTATTTCAGACCTTATTAAATGTGAAACAGATGTGATTGAGCAAGGACAAGAGAAACCAGAGGCAAAAATTATTATTTTTTTGTGTCTGTTTTTGTCATTCTTTATTTTGTCAAATTGTGGTGTTGGAAAATTATTACAATTTCTACTTTACAAACATTTTTAATGGTTTATAAGGAGTTGAATCTTGTAGAACTTGTAGCTCTTGTCAGAATTCTGAGGGGGGAAAAAGAACACATTTAATATAATAATTTTGCAGAAGACTAAAATTATTTAAAGACAACAAATATTGTCTTGAGGAATTCTCTGCCAGAAAGCAATTGTAGTTTCAGGGTTCTTTAAGGATCTGAGACACTTACTGGGAAATTAAACCATTTTCCATAGTGAATTTTTAGCTGTTTTATTGCATTTGCCATTTTCATAGTTACTTGTATGGATCTGTTCTTAAAATAAGAGTTGAACTCACCAAGTGGGTAATCGCTAAGAAGATCGACCAGAACCTTCTGCAGCACAGGACCATATTTCTCATACTCAGCTCCGCTCAGAGACACAGACAGTTCGAACGGAGCACTCATCTAAATTAATAGGGAGAACAAATTATGACTTCAGTAGTAACTGATTGAAATCCCATTCAAAAGCGCACTTGCATTGAGTTTTTTACCATGAATTGGTCATCCTCTTTAATCACTGGGATCTCTGGCTCCGCAACATCTCTTCTGCCCACCCGTGGTGGCCTCCGACCCTTAAAATTGGACACATTTGATGCCAAACTTCTAGCATTAATTTATGTAATTTTGACATACTCCATTTTTTTATTTGACATACATTGGTTTACTCCAAACATATTACACATCCAACAGACATACACTCACCTGTGGTTTCTGAGTAGGACTGAGGAAGCTGGTGCCGCCGCTCACGGACTCAACACACAAGGAAAGAGCACATAAGAGCAGAAACATGTGGCTGGCACGACAACGCAGAGGCATCCTGGGAAGTCACCTGGTTTAGTTCTGTTTTAGACAACACTCTTAATGGCTGCACTTTAAAAGTATCAAATATATGCTGAATGCACAGAAATAGTAAACAATAAGAGTCAACCCCACCTGTAATGATCAAACTGCTTCTGTAGGTCTGCACACTAAGATCTGCTTCTCACTTTTATAATAGCCTTTGGTTAACAATTAGCATTAAAGTCTACAGCTGTAACTGTGAAAACAAACAGAACTAAAAATCCCTGATTGTTACTGTATGTGTGTGAGAGATTTCCCTTAGGGTGATATGAATATGATGATAACAGACAAGTAAAGTCATATGGTGGTACACTGCTGTGTCAATAGATATTAGTGTTACTAGACCACTGAAGTATTGCCATAGCAGGTTTATTTGACTGACCTGGTAATTCCTCTGTAACTGTAACTCATGGCCTATTTGGTGCGAACACACTTTTAAGTGGACTCACCTTTGTACATGGTTGGCAGCATGTTCTTTTCAACATGGTCATCGTACCAATGTGAAAAACTTATTTGACATTTATTTTTATGGTTCTGGTTTGTATTTAATTCATTTTCTTTTGATCAATAATAATGATGTAACAGAGTACCACTGTATTGAGAATATCGTTAAAGGTTTTTAGTTTGAAGCTAGTTTTGGTTTTCATATTTTTCACTAGCAAAAAATGTATCAGTATTACCATGGTTTTTTATGACAGGATACCAGCATAATGCCATATATTTGGACATTTAACATGGTACATGTTGTGGAGCATGGCAGTTTAAAGCAACTTGACGGTAAATTTGTAGTTTTTATATTTTTCACTAACAAAAAAGTACAACATTGCCATGTTAAAATTCAAAAATTGTAGTGTGACCTCCGAGACAGTAGATGGCAGACTGCATTTGTCCTTTACAGAGATACACTGTTTTGTTCTCTGAATGTCAGTGTTAGCCTGGTTTACCTAAAAAGCTACAGTTAATATGGATAAAAAGAAGAAACCATACAATGTTACAGCGTCATCGGTGAGTAATTCGTATCTTAAAGTGCTCTTTTAACCAAGAGGAATGAGCATTTTAGTTTTGTTAGTGTGTTATAGTTAGCTTAGCATGACAGCTGACAGTAAACTTGCATTGTGTGTGAGGCTGTTTTTAAACTGGGAAAGATGGCTCGATCCTTTTAAATCTCTTAACTAACAAATACTTTATTTACATTTCAGCTGGTTGATTTGAAAGCGGAATTATATCGGAAACAGGAACAATTTAAGCACGACCGACTTGGACAAGATGCCGGAGTCGCACAGAAGTCTAAGACAAAAGTAAAAGTAAGACACGGGCAGTTAATGACAGCTAGATATGATCACTGAATTTTTACATAAAAACGCCTGTTGTGTTTGATTATGTGTGTATGTGCTCATAGAAGCCCAATATCTGGAGCAAACAGAATGAAGGAGTCAATGCACGAGCTCAGAGGGACGTTCAGCAAACTGCAGAGGAAGAAAACACGCTAGATAAGTCCAGGTAAATGGGTACTAGATTATTCTGTTTCTTTATATCCTCTTCATTAATTCATTTTCTCTTGCCCTAAAAGTAAAATGTATGAATGTTGGTATATAAATCAATAAAACTAAATATCAATGCAGGTAATCCTAAAACTGGATATTCTGTAAAAATTTGTAGCATGTTTGCAGAAGACACTTTGTTTGATAGTTTTGATAATGTAATACAATAAATTTCATTTATGAGCATGGCTTAAGTGTCCAAATTATTTTTCTTTTGTTTCTATAACAACCTGTTGCCTTAAATAATATTTCATAAATTATTTTATTTGATGCAGACTGTCTGACATTCACATATTGGAAAAACAAGAACTCATACTAATGAGGACATATTATTTAACTTTTTATTTGCATCTAGATACCTTTTATTAATATGATTATAATAATTGCAAACTATACACCTTACTGTTTTGAGTGCTGATATATAATGTAATGTAACTGTAATATACAGTATAATATAACACAATACAATGATGACATTTTTTTTTTTTTATAAAACATTGTTTGGAATATATTTACTATACACTGATTATAAAATGTTAAAATGATGTTAAAAATATAATGATGTTAACAGAGAATTCATTATTCAGATACATCTAAGCATACTATAAAGCTCATTCATTGTTCAAATTGTGGAATATAATTATATTAATGTTTTCTTGATGCATTTTTGTCTTTTGCAGGCAAAAATTGGAGGAAAAGGCACGTCTTTATGAACAGATGACAAAAGGAGATTTCCCAGGTATATGCTTGCTGGCATTCCTACATGCAAAGATTTCACTTCTAGAAACCATTTTTCCTCTGCTTTGGGTGTTTTTTGTGTAACAAAAAATGAACCGATATTGAAGTAGACTGCATTTCTTTTTATCTTTAGATGAGGAGACTGAAAGTCTTTTCCTGGTGGACTTCACCCAAAAGATCATCAACCAGAGGAATGAACCACAGACATGCACTGCAAATGTAGCAGGGGACCGAGATGGAGAGGACTCTGATGTGAACATCCCTGTTCCACCCCCACAGAATGCAAATGAAGAATGGTACCATGTGTTTATAAATGTGTTTTAAACTCGATGAAGAGGCAGTATGATTTGAACTCAGCTGTGGGTTTCTTGCTCTCTTTTTTTAAGGGTGGACTATGTTGATGCATTAGGACGCTCTCGAAGATGTCTGAGGAGAGACCTTCCAGATTTTCAGAAAATGGACCAAGAACTCCAGAACAAGAGGTACATTTATTGTTCTTACCTTTGCTGTTTTTGTATGTAACAAATTGGCATTGTTCCTGCTCATTCTATATCTATTTTATTGTGTGCAGGGTGACAGGTGCTGACAGGACACTGTTATCCGATGACATGAGGAGAGACATGCAGAGAGAGCAGTGGGAGAGAGAGGAAGAGGAGCAGATGAAGAAACCTGTTGGACCCATTCACTTTGAAAATATCAGAGAGCAAGGTGATGGAGAAGATTGATCTCTACACGCACTGAAATCTGTCTTTTGTATAGAAAAAATTCTTAGTGCTTCTGTGAGAGTGTTGAATTACATCTTCACAGTGTCTCACATGGATTTTTTGTGTCTGTTTCAGAGGCCAGAGAGCTGGGTGTTGGGTATTTTGCTTTTGCCCAGGACGAGGACCAACGAAGAAAACAGAGAGAAACTCTAGACATGCTGAGAGACCAGGTCAGATCAACAGAATTAAAGGAATCTAAATTAGAGTGAGCTGCCTCGCTAGACAGCATTTTAAGTGTTGTAAGTGTGCTTAGGAAGCAAAGACTTCCAGTATCCAATAAATGTTCAATATCAGCTGATATACAGTACATCTAATCTGTACAGTAAATCAAAATAAAAAACAATGAATATTAACCAATAACTAATATGGTACCAATATATTGTGCATCCCAGGTTCTGAAAAGCTCTGTGAACAAACTCAGAAAGTGTTATTGTCAGTTATTGTTTTTGCATTTTAATACCCCTCCCCCAAAAAAGTGTATTTATTATTTATCTAATTGACAAAATATATATATTTTTTAATTAATTTGAATCACGATAATTTTAATTATTTGATCCATTTTTATTTATTTTTAAGTTTTAAAACAATATTTGTTCATTTCAGCTAGGTTGCTGCCTATGTAGGCAGTATACAACTAGTGAGCTCACTATATCCTCAGCTTCTCTACTAGCTAAAGTCTAAATCAGCTTTTTACAATTCTCTTTCTTTCTGCAGACCACAGATCAGCGCCACAAACGTGAGCAACTGAAGGAGAAGCGGAAAGCTCTGCTTGAAGCGCGACTCGCTAAAGTGAGGATGAGGAGGATGAAGAAAAGCAAGCTGGAGCCAGGAGATGAAGAAGAGGGTGCGTTGCTGAATATTAGTTATTTAATTAATAGCTATTTATGTGTATCTTTGTGTTGGTGATGAATTCTACTAAGGCATATGTGGTTGTTTTTGGATAATGTCTGATGTTCTGTTGTAGCTGCTGTTGATGATGCTGAGAATGATGAAGATGATGATGATGAAGGTTTGGTTGGACCTCCAGCCCCTCCAACAGTGCGGAAAGTGGAAGTAGAGATTCAAGAGAGAAAAGACACCAAACCTGGCGTTCCACACGTAAGAGAGTGGGACAGAGGCAAAGGTAAATGATCATGCACATAAATGCATGCCATATTCCGTTCTTCCTCTTAATTGGCTCTAGTGTTTACATTTGCTTTTTTGAAGATGCACAAGATTTATTTCCTTTTCCAGAGTTCTCCTGGGGTCAGTGGACCAGTCGTCGTCGAGAGGAGCGAGACTCAGAGTTTGCTCCTCCTCCTGCTTATTACGCAGATGACACTAGAGCCAGTCACAACAGAGCCACAGACAAAGGGCAGAGCAAAGGAAAACTTGCCTTCAAGTGGTCTGAATCCCAAAAATCCACAGAAGGAGACCCAGAGAACATATCTACCTCTAGTCAACCTTCTGACATACCCACATATGCACAACCTTCTCAGCCACAAACTGCTCAAACACAGAGTCTGGACGAACTGTTATCTTACTACAAACACTCCACGTAAAAGTGCAAGTCTGAAAATCACTGGAAACTATGGGACTTGGCAAGCTGCATCAGTTAGTCTGGATGCATGTCAGTCTTAAGCAGCAGTGGCAGTAAAACTTTGTACTAAAATGTAACTGAATTGCAAAGTTAGAATAAAGAATGACAAGATTTTTGTTTGATTTTTGTGCATCTTTTATTCCATCACTATCTATTGTTCCAAATTCAACAGCATTCTTAACCATAATTATTAAATTTTGCCACGAGTTCTTTCAGTAGCTTGCTAAGAACAGAAGTCACTCTTGTCCATAAATGTTATGTTAATCAAACATGATAGATGATTTAACCTAAGCTGAGACTCAGTTTTCCTGTTCGAATGAAGTGTTTCATTGTGTTTGTCACTGCCTTTTTTTGTTAAATTATTTGAAATCCAGGCAACTTAAACATGTTTCTGCATGTTATGAACACTGGACAAAGTTTATGAGTTGCACCTGACTGCAGTATAACTCTTCTTAGTTACTCAGTAGCTTGTAATGAGTTGCTTTACAAGTT